GCATTTTTTGTAGTCAGTATCTTTTTTATTTTTTGTGTTTTTGCATTGTGCCTGGCACATTAAATGCTTGCAAAGGTAATGCTTTTGAGAAACTTGGTGCTTGTATCCATTTACCCACACATTTTCCCTATTAGTGTAGACATGGAAATTTGAGTTTTTGGAGAGGCCTGAGAAAACACAATACTCGAGGTCCTGGCTTGATGCCTTCAGCCCAGTTCTGAGGTAGAACTCCCACCTACACCTGAGTCTAGCTCTGCCTCTACCTGGGTTGGGCACCTCATCTCCTCAGCCCCGCTTCCACTCAACTCCGATTGGCTAGAGGAGGAAACAGCGCGGCCATTGGTTCCCTCTTGAGAGGGCGGAGCCGGCTTGCGTTTTATCTGCCATATGCAGGCCCAGCCCCGCGGAAGGGAAACGAGTGGGGTCCGAGGCCTGAGGCCCAGTGACCCGGAGCAGAGGCGGCAGGGTGCACCCTACCCTGCGGCCAGGCGGAGCCAAAGATGCCGATCTCTCCTGCGCGGCCCCGCCCGGGCCCGGGGTTGCCTCCGGCCTCGCCTTTCCGGCTGCTGCTGCTGGCGGTGCTGAGCAGCCCGGTGTCCGGTCGCATCCTTCGCTCAGTGCCCAGGACCTCGCTTCCCATCTCCGGTAAGGCGCGGGCGCCCTCGCCCTCGCCCTCAGCCCTTCGCGCCACTCCCAGGCCCTGCTTGCAGGTGCCGGCACCCACCTACCCTCCCGACCCGGGCAGCAGCACCAGGGCCCCTCAGCTCCGCGCACGGTCCCGCGCCGCCCACACCCTACCCAGACCCGGGAGGGACACCCCAGCCGGGCTGCTGCACCGCATCCCGGGCCAGAGCCTAGCGCCTCGGCTCCGGTGACACGCCCAGGCGGCTCCTGCGGCCCCTTATTGTTAGAACCGCGGGAGAGTTAAGCCACTGGTCGTGCAGACGCCGACCCTGACGGCCAGGGAGGGGATGGGGGTCGCCCGAGGTCGTCTATTATAGAGTTCGTTCTCCGTTATCCTTCTGTTACCACACATGCACTTGTGTCCATGACGCCAGTTTGACGCCTGCTTCCAAACCCAGAGGTCTTTCATTCTTATCCAACCACCCATCCTTCTGATTACCAACTCAGCATTTGTCCACTTTTCAATTCGTTCCCAGATCATCAGTTCTACCCTCCTCTAAGCCATTTGCCCTGCTCACATCCCTAATCTCCCTAACCCACGTCCTAGTCCTTTCACATCTCTGACTCCAATTCCTATTCTCCCATTGTCCCATCCACCATAACCCTAACTTCCTCAACATTGCCTTCTCCTTCTACCCATTCCCTATGTTGAGAAACCAATCAATGAGTTGAGTTAAAATTCTGTTTAAATGATTTTAAAAGTCTTCAGAAGGAAAAAAGGAGGAGGGAGATATGGGCCTTTTAAAAGATGTGGAAGAAGCCAAGGAACGCTACAGGGTTAAAAGTAGTCATTGGAGTGATTCACACTTTACAGGCTCTCTGCTGAGGTGGACTTGAGCATGCCTGTAGATCTTATTTTCTTCTCAGTGGCCATTGAGTGTTAACACCATGGATAGACAGAACCAGTGAAGCTGAGAGTACAGCCTTTCGGCAAAAACTCACAACTGGGTGATAGTAATTTAGAGTCTAAACTTCAGACCTGTGTGATATATAGGGATGTTTTGAATCCAGAAGACAAACTTGTAGTCAGAGCCTGGGCTTTTAGTTTGTGCTGGAGCAATAGACACAACATAGAGTTGAGGTTAGTGGACTGGGTTTATGTCCAGGAATACATACATCTACGTGGCAAAGAGTTTGGATGAACCAGGGCTTATTCTAAGCATGAGAGCAAGTGGGATACAGCACAGTCATGAATATGGATGTGGGAGGATGGGTGGGCGTCCATACATCAGCACGCCTAGGAGTGAATGGCTGCTGGCCATTCTATCAGTCTTGAGGGTAGCTGAGCAGATGAAGCAGGTAGAACAGAACTGTATTGGTGCAGGGAAAGTGTCCCCAGAGCCAGAGGTTGAGCTAAGAAGGTAAATTTATGCTAACTTATTTGTTATAATCTTTAAATAGATAAGAGTTTTAAATACTGACATAAGATTTAGAGCTGACCAAAACAGAGCTTGTACCTAAGGAAGGAAGAAAAGAACAATTTGTGAAACATGTAGTATGTATTAGATGCTTCCACATATGTTATACCATTTAGTTCTGTCAACAACCCTGGATGAATGAGGAAAGTGATGCTCAGAGAGGGCAAGTAACTTACTCAAGATCACAGCTGGTAAGTGAAAGAGCCAGATTTAAACTCAGGCTGACCCATTTTTAAATTATATACTCTTGCCCACTATACTCTCTACCTCTTTGGGTGGAATAGAGGTGAGTGGAGGTCAAGAGTGGTGGGAGAGAAAGGAGCTAGTTAGTGGAAAGAG